TATTTTCTAAGTGACTGGTAAAGACAGTATTTATTATTCATAGTTTTTATGACAGTAAGAAGAAATAATAAATATATTTTATTACAAGCTGAAGTCATCATTTTTCAACTAGCTAAAGTCTAATCTTCACATCTGGATTAGATCATTGTAATTTATAAATTATTTATATTTCTGGTATAAATCTGCTGTTTTACATGATTGTTGAATGAAATTAACATAATTATTAATTTATTGTAAAAACATGACAGATAATTTGTGAAACAGATCCATTTCAGCTGCTGTTTATCTATTAGTTTCTATGGAGGCTGTGAGCTGTTGTCCTGTTTGGTCGTTTCTGCTCCTCCATGTTGTCACAGACACTACCAGTGGACAGGATGGGTAGTGTTCTTGTTCAAGTCTGTTTGCTTACAGTAATGGTGTTTTCCATCTGGCTACCTTTTGGCTACTAAAATTTTAGATTTTGTTAATAAATAGTTTAAAGAACRAAAGTCAGTCAGTGGAACTGTACTGTTGCTGTTATTATTTATGTGTTTTAGCCACTAAGGAGAGGTGTGTGATTTAATAAGAGAGGATGATAAATCACTCAATAGACCTCTAAAAATGTGTCCCCCTCACTTCTGAGATGATGGTTACACCCTTGCACCAGCAAAATATCTGGTTTTCTCCTGCTTTTGTTAAACTGTCTGTTGGAGCTCTTGCTCTGCACAGAGAGACTGCCTGTCACTGTGAACGTGAGTTGAGATCTTCTCCTCATTGGTCAGTCAGCATGAGGCGGGTCAGGTGACTGAGAGGGTTGCTTAGTGTCAAGTGTTGCTTTTGTGAAATTGTAGGACACTTTCCTCGATCTCAATGTAGTGGGTCATGTTGACCTGATTATACTGATGTGTTTTGTTTTTATAGCATCATGTGAAGGAGTGTCCTTGACAAGAGGACATAGTAGTGTATTTGTAGTTCTATGAGCTTTTGTACATCAAAATACACTTAGACTCTGAAGTATTGAGTATATTTACTATATATTGCAATAATTTACTCTGTATTTTGCCAGACTGGTAATCCTGGGGTCGTTATGATGGGGCCCTTGAATATTGTTAATCCGGCCCTGCGCTGGATGCCGAGAAAGCGTTTGACCGAGTGGAGTGGAACTATCTTTTTAAGACCTTGGAGATGTTTAACTTCGGCCCTAAATTTGTTTCATGGGTGAAGCTGATACATACCTTGCCAATGGCAGCAGTATGCACTAACAGTAATCTATCTAGCTATTTTGAATTGGAATGTGGTACGAGGCAGGGGTGCCCACTCTCGCCACTCTTATTCGCAATCGCGATTGAACCACAAGTCTGTAACAAAACGCTCCATGAGCAGAGTTTCTTCTCTGCTCAGCTCATTTTCTGACTCCAATTTAGATTCTTTGAAGGGCAAGTGGGAGATGYYRTTGGAGGAATCCATATCAGACACAGTTTGGCAAAAAATTATTCAAAATATATATTCGTCCTCAATATGTGTGAAACATGTTATAGTTCAATTCAAGGTAGTACATCGTCTACACTGGTCTAAGGACAGATTGTGCAAATTCAAATGGGACTTGGAGCCGATGTGTGATCATTGTAAACAATCCCCTGCCACACTTTTACACACATTCTGGTCCTGTCCAAAGCTACATGGATACTGGCAAGGCATCTTTGACACCTTTTCAGGACTGTTTGGACGAACTGTTCATCCATCACCATTCATCTCTCTCTTTGGGGTGGCTCCAGCAGAAGCTTCCCTCAGTGAACATCAGAGTACGGGGTTAGCTTTCTGCTCTCTACTGGCTAGAAGACTTATTCTTCTTCGATGGAAGGATCCACATCCTCCAGTATATGGTCATTGGTTAAGAGAAGTTATGTCTTACATTCATTTAGAGAAGATTAGATATACTGTTAGGGGATCTATAAACAAATTTTTTGACCTTTGGCAGCCATTTATATCTTATGTAGAAAAAATTTCGGCAGATAATTTTGTGTAAAGGTTAAATATTGTTTCATTATACACAAACCTGTTCATTGTATCACTTGTATGCACAAGATCGTTTTTGGTTGTTTCATTGGATCCGGCATAGGAGGGGAGGGATGGGAGGGATTTTGGGGGTGTGTGTTTTGTTTTGTGATTTTGTAAGTCTGTTCTTTTTTGTGGTTTGTTAAAAAAATTTAATAAAAAGACCTTGATCAAAAAAAAAACAGCAAAGGCTGGCCTAATGATCCTGCTCTTCAGACTCAAATGCCTATTTAAACAGATGAGTTTTTAACAGAGACTTTCTAAACTATTTTAGTTTAGTTTAAAAATTATAAAAAAAATATAAAAACTAAACAGTCTACAGTATTTTTACCATCTTTATTTTACAGTTATAATATGTTTATGTTTACAGTTATAATATATGTTTATCAAATAAAGTCTAATGTTACAACATGGATCTCTTTAAAGACCAGATTCATTAAAGCGTTAGAAAATCAACTCTTTGATGTGTAGAAAGGCAACAGTAACCCTGACAAGCAGCACAGATGAGTTTATCCACTTGTTTTACTGTTATTAAATGACATTTGATTAATTTAATCTGTTTGTTTTTTTACTTAATTTTGAAAATTTGAGTTTAGTTTTAGCAACAGAAATCAATTTCACCCAACATCTCTGAGCTATTGCGTCCCAGCTGTGTAAGGTTTGTTCAAACACAAACCAATCCCGTTGGACAAGTCCAGTGATAATATAAGCACACAGACCAGAACATACAACTACTCATTTCTAGCTTACACACACACCAAGCTCTTTGACTACCACCATTTAAACACAGAAGCCTCACAACTGTGGATCATCCTTTAACCCTCATCTTGTTTTGGTAATTTTATTCAACATTATCACAAGAACACAGGGTTCAGTTCTAGGACTTCCAGATCAACATGGTTTCTCCTTTGCACTTACTTTTTGTATAAACTACAAACTATGACTTGCACTTTAGTTTGTATTGTTTGATTT